GTTTTGGTGTGTGTCTTTTGTTACACATGTGTGAGTGTGGGTGTGATTTGGAGTGTGAGCTTGTGTGAGTGTGAGTGTTGGTGCGAGTGTGAGTATGAGTGTGGGTCTCAGTGTTTTTGGCACGTGCCTGGGTTTGGGTGTCTGTGTCTGCGGTGCAATTTTAGCACTTATGGGGTGTGGTTTCGTTCCACTTTGTGTTGCCTGATTTAGGTCAACCTCACTTGTTTTTCTTCTCAATCTTGATGGTGGCTCCTAGACAAAATTTGATATAGATAGTTGTAATTTGCATTGATTTGAAGATGGTGTGTGTAAGGTTTTTCATACTACCTCCGACAAGCGAAACTTGGCGCGTTTTTTGTGATTTTTGTGTTAGTACCACAACTAACTGATTTCACAAGACTTTACAAGACTTCACAAGACTTCACAAGGCTCTGTTCCACGACCTACTAGTACTTGTAGCTCCATGCAATCGGGTGGAGGAAGCCAAGCGAAGAGCTGGTGAGTGGCACATGACTCAGAGTTAGTCAGAGGCAGGCCGGTCTCTCTTGTACCAGCAGAACAGTGCACGCGTACATTCTGCGAAGGAAAATCGTCGTGCTTTCGCGTTTCAATGCAAAACCAAGGAGTTCACTCTCTCTCTCCATTTGATCACTCAGCCAGCACAGAGTCCGTACGTCCATGCCAAACAATCCTGGTGTCTTTCAATAGCCTCCAGAGTGATGTGTCTCTGTTGGCTAAGGGAATTCGCCAGGAATTGCTGCAGGCAATTATTTTGGACTGTTGGTGGGAAAACCCGGCAAAAACATTTGCAGTCCAGGCGCAGGTACGTGGTGGTGTTGCACAGTTCTTACCACGTCAACCTGGAATATGGCGGCGGAAATGACTACCCTCGACATCGTAGCTCAAACAGACACGGCCGTTCACGTGCAGGCACTTATCAATATGGCGTTGTTCGGTGCGATTTATGTAATATTGACCCCTCGTTGTTATTTTTGGAATAGTTCAGCCCAGTCCAGTCCGAAAGGTCATACTCGGATCGACTCCCTGGTGTGTACGCACTCTGTTCCATGACCACATGACTGCATGGACACGTCGAACTACAGTCACTAGGCTAGTGCATTTTAGCGACTGCAGCGATCCGATCTTCTTGCTGCTGCGCTGTTTCTTCTTCTTCACTTGTGTCTTTTCTTTGGACGCTGTACTAGTTTGTTTTGTTTGATTACAATGATTACGAGTCAATGGACAACGCGGTCACCACTTTGTGCATGTCCTTTTGCTTGACGGATCTTCGATCTTGTGGAAAAAGAACAGTTCTCTTTTCTTCCAACTTTGCTATTATTTAGATATTTCCTCTGTTGACTTCTTGCTGATAGTTGTGGCATGTCAATAATAATAATGTACCAAACAAGTCTTGTCCTTTGTGTCCTGTGTCCAGGGGAAAGGAATGGCTGTGATTCCGTAACAGCAGTGTTCCACTTTTACGTCCTGTATCCTTTTCTGGCTGGTGAGCTCCTTTTGCTGTTTTGTCCTTGGAGAAAAAGGCTTGCGTTTCCCTTGGTTATTTGGAAGTCAGTGGCTGTTTGACGACCCTCTAAGATTATGTATTTGAAGTAGCAACAAGGTAGAAATATCACAATTCTCTCTTGCGTATCATATCCGTCCGATATCACCAAAGCGTCATCAATAAAGGCGAAAAAGGAAAAGGACAAAATGTCACGAGTTACGACTAACAATTCGTCGCACTCGCTGACTGTATAAGATCTGGTTACGTTGGTGGACAGTTAGTCATAACTCGTAACATTTTGTCCTTCTCCTTTTTCACCATTATTTAATTTGTTCACAGTCCGAGTTCATCAATAAAGGCGGTTGCATTTGAAAAGCAAAATGCAAATCATCAATAAAGGCGAAAAAGGAAAAGGACAAAATGTCACGAGTTACGACTAACAATTCGTCGCACTCGCTGACTGTATAAGATCTGGTTACGTTGGTGGACAGTTAGTCATAACTCGTAACATTTTGTCCTTCTCCTTTTTCACCATTATTTAATTTGTTCACAGTCCGAGTTCATCAATAAAGGCGGTTGCATTTGAAAAGCAAAATGCAATTCCCATATGTCACGTGATTGTTGTCTTCGAGTCGACCAGTGACAGATCAAACTGCGCCGGCTGAAAAGCGCGGTTCTGCCTGCTCAAAGGTGATGTACAGTCGACCTACTCTTATAACCTCTATAACGATATTACCCTTATAACGATATTTTTCTACCAAACCAAATCACTCCATTGATTTGTGTATTCAATGCCTTACCTCTATAACAATATTACCCCTATAACGATATAAAATGGGCTGACCAACCGACATTTTCCATTTTATAACAATATCTAGCAGAGAATATGTAGAGCCCTCTATCCAGGTAGGGCAGGCTTCACTTGGTAAGTCGCTGGGACATGACGAAATGCAATGGGGGCACCACTGGGCACCTTGCTCTGTACATACTGGGCATGTACGTCAGTATTATGATATGAAGAGTTTAAAAAATGAACAAAATCCATGCATTATGACGTATGTGTATGAAATGAGCCAGTTACCCCTATAACAATATTACCTTTATAACAATATTCCTCGGTGTGATGCAAATATCGTTATAAGGGCAGGTCGACAGTAACTAGATCTTTGCCTATCGTCAAGTTCGTCGTCACTTGACGACAAGCAGGAACGGAATCCACTGTGTTTATTGGCTCACAAACTTGGCGTGTGTTACGTAAATACAAGGGCAACGGAAAGAGTGAGTTTTGTAGATTTACTTGATTGTATGGTCTGTGCGTGCATGCATGCTCTTTGGCTAGGGTGTACAGCTGAAGCGTCATTTCATGAAGGTTTTATTGAGCTGTCACGAACAAATTCTAGAGAAAGTGGTGATGTGATGTGTATTTGTCACCTCGCCGCATTTTCAAATATTTTTTATCATAGTATTTCCTTTGTACTAGTCCAAATCTCAGTGAGACGAAGATTTGTTATGATTGCCACACGAAAGCGACGTTAAAATCCGTACTTAGTGTTCCGCTGGTGTCGTTGTAAGAGTGCGTAGACATTATTTCTTTCAAGTGTAGTATAATAGCAATAAAGAGAACAAATTCTGCAGTCATCACCACACTACAACGAAGTCATGAAAGGTTACTAGAATTAATTTTCTTGTCACATTCATCAGTCGAAAGTCGTGACTGAAGAGTAACCATGCTGAACAATGACTAAAATTAATATACATTAAATGATGTATTACGAGAACAAAATACAGTGCCAAAATAGAATGAGGGAAGGTGAGACAATAGAATTGAAGTGAGAGCTAAGTGCAACGGCGGGTGAGAAACTAATTATAACGCTAAAACTGTGTAGTGAGACAAACAATCAAGCTGTGCACCTACGAAAACAATTTTAACGCAACTACATGCTTCTTCTGCTTACAAAGATCAGGCTTATGCAAACGAATACAAACAGCCTCAAGTACTTTCAACAGACTAGCATACCGTGCACGACAAAGAACAGAAAAACTAAAATCATCATACACCTGCAGACACTTAGGGTGAGACGACAAGTGAAGAAAACGGCAGACTTCTTACGATCACAATCACCATCTGATTCCTCGTCTCCAACAACCGCAACCTCGTCCTCCGTCTCATCTCCCAACTCGTCCTCAGTTACTCTTCAGTCACGACCTTCCACTGATGAATGTGACAAGAAAATTAATTCTGGTAAACTTTCATGACTTCGTTGTAGTGTGGCGATGACTGCAGAATTTGTTCTCTTTATTGCTATTATAAAATTGTTGTCTCCACGTCGATTATTTGCAAGTGTAGTATAATAATATTATCAGCAATAGGTATATTTGTGAAAAAAGAACACATTAGTAGAAAGGACGGGTTAAGAGATGCGACTTTGGAGGTGACAAAAAAGACGCGACATTCCAACAATGAGCAATCGGCCATCAAGAGTCATCTGTCCGTTAGTGATAGTTGTCGCGAGTTGTACAGCGATGATGTTTGCTCAGTTTTGGCCACTGGCAGATCTGTATTGCATTTGTCTGTGTTTGTCCCCTGAACTGCTGTATTGCAGGACATTTTCGGACGGAATATATTTTCGTACGATTTCGTACACGCCCTCTTTTGTACTAAAATAAATTCCGTACTTAAATTTGTTCCTGTGAAGTTATGTACACTAAACATGCGTACCGCAAGCAAACAAGTGCATTTAGCATGCACCACTGTACGAAAATAAAATCCGTACGAAATGTCGAAATTCGGCTTTGTCCGAAAATAATTCCGTCAGAAAATTTCCTGCTATACAGTATGTGTTCAGAAGGAAAATATGTTGTCACATCAGTTGTTTGGTCTTAATCCTCGCGAAAGTGTCAGGAGTGCTTCTCCTCACTGATGCATTACGTTTAGTAATTTATTCACCTTCAACCTGTGTTTGACTGTTCTCCTGAAGTAATTTTTTTCCACACGTATAGCATGAGGCTATCGATCCGTGCTTTTGATGTAGCTCTATAAATTGCTGTGTTTTGACATTTTCCATTATTCCCTATACTTAGCCATGATGAGAAGGGAACGAAAACGTTCGGTTACCAAGTTGGTTTACTTGAATGTGTGGATTGCGTCGGTGCTGACACCTGTTCTTTCCAAAACACATGAGAATGAGTTATGCAGCAACTATCCACGGCTGTAGGAAGATGATAAACAGTCAGAAAGTTGGATAATAGGGCACAAAACCCATTACCACACTTTCTGACTGTTTATCTTGTTACAGCCGTGAATAGTTGCTGCATAACTTGTTCTCATGTGTTTTCTTCTCTTCTTTTTTGCATTTATTACTGCGTCAATATCCGAGTTAAAATTGGTGTATTACATGTACACTTGTATAATTTATACATGTGCAAGCAGATCAATAATTATAGCAATGCATGATACATGTGTGCCACTTGAAAGCAACAGAGTGGAACTACTTACAAATGTTTTAAGAGGTACAAGTGGTCAAATATACCAGGATTAATACTGGGCAGGACAACGCCGTCAACAAATCTGAGAGTGGACAAAAACAAAATTTAGATTGAGTGCATCGGCATGCAGCAATCCGTGACTTACTCTTTGTTGCAGAGGAAACTAAATACCGTGCTAGCGTGATTTGCACCCCTGGGGAACTATTGATGGAGCAGTATACAAGAGAGGGCAATTTTCGTTGGTACATTCACGTTGTTATGCACCCTCTGTTTCTCTAAATTGTCAGGAACGAACGAACACACGGCACCAGGACAACTATTGCTTCTTAATCCTAGAATTATCAAGATTTCAACTACCCTAGCCCTTTAGGAGCCGCCCCATACTTGAATGCGTCGTAAACGACGCATTCTAATGCAAAACTTCAAAAGATCGTAACTCAGTCCAATCTCGCTCAAAAAAAAAGAAACTCTCACCTGTCGGGAGAAACAATTCGCGAAGCGCTGCGAGCAACGGTTCCCGAGATAAATCACTCGTAAGTTGAGCCGCGATCTCAGCAATTTCAAAAGCGCGCAGTGCAACTTTAGTATTGAGATTTTTGAGACTTTTCGTCACGCTGGTTTACTCGAATTTGCACGGGTTTCACTGTTGATATTGTCAAGAGTACACAGCAAAAAAATTGGAACTCCACGATCGAGTAGAATGAAATATCTGGAGCGGGACGCAATTGGACGCATTTGGGGCATTTTTCGTACTGTCGCTGCGATCTAGCGCTGGATAGACGGTGTGCTGGCAATCATGATCGACCTCATTCTCTTCCTCTCGCGGAGACCGTTCCAGGAAGCCCTAGATTGTGAGGATTGAGTGAGTAGAACTGAAGCTATGATCCGAGGAACACGAAAAAATGCAGATTTTTGAAAATTTCCTGTGGCTCTTAAAGGGCTAGAATTGCCGGAGGCATCATATGGCTCAACGGGACTTAAACATACCTGCTTGGTATTATTTTTGGCAATATGTGTAGAAACGGAAGTCCTTGGGGTAAAGGGTACCTTTTAAAAGAAAGAACCAATAATTACAGGTGCACTATCTTGGAAATCAACAGCTGGCACTGCGCGCAGCGAAAGGGCGACCTCTGGTCAGTTTATTATAAGAGCATTTGCTTGCTAGGCTCATGCTACAGACTCTACATTTCAGTCCATTACCCCTAATATGGCGGCTGCTTCGCCAACTTTCTTGATTTTTCTGAGCATGGTTGGTCAATCTTTCACTGTTGTGATAAATAAATGTACGAGCGAAAGGAGAATATGGTGTCGCGACTCATAGCAAACACATAATTGCCGTTCGCCGTCGTGTCTGGAGACCATCTTCGTGATCAAACCTCAAGTAGTAGAGTAGTCCCTGGAAACTATTTTTGGGGTTTTACTTGATTATATGTAGTCCATTCTTATCCAGCTGAAGGGCCGTCGGCAGATTATTGCGGGTACGGAGGACTCCTCTTGCGGAAAGTTGCGAAACCAATGACATGATGTTGCCTTTACTCAAAGTAGAGTCCTCTGTACTTCCCTGTTTTCCTTCCTGCCTTGTGCATTTGATCACGACATGGATCAGCAATGTCTTCAAAGACAACATCGACACGATGTGCCATTAGCCGGAAGAGGTGTTGTGCCAGATCAGTCCGTGGCCGTGCTCGGGCAGATGGCTGTCACAAATCGCCGGAGCTGCTCCTGGTGAGCAAAAGCTATTTGGGCTACATCCATGCTGACTAAACAAACAAACTTTCCGAAGTACGGAATTATCAAAGTAAAAAATACCTTCAGACGAACGGAAACACTAAAACTATCCTCCAACGAACGGAAACACCAAAACTATCCTCCGACGCCGAGACCGGAAACACAACAACTATCCTACTATGAATGGAAACACTACAACTATTATCCGACGTGCGGAACCATTACAACTATTCCCCGACGAACAGAAATGCCGAGTTCTCAACCCTGCTGACCAACACCACAGGGGTGGAGTCTCAAGAGCCTGACAAACAATGCTCAAGACAAGTTCTGACACCATGTAACAGGAAGCATACTAGCAGCTCCAGTCGACTCAACAAATCGAACACGCTCCTTCTGGACTAACCAAGTCCTAAGGCGGAGCCCTTGTCGTGGCCAGCTTCATATTTCAGAATCAATGCAGGGAGTCATATTCGACTCCCTGGTGTGTTCAGAGCACGATGTCGGAGGTAGAACAAGAATGTGTAGAAATAAAGTGTTTTCCTAAAGGTGGATAGTGTGTAGAGTAATAGTTGTCCATTATGCATGAATAATAATAATAAGTAATTCGGGGATCACCATACAGAGCATGCAGAAAGAGTGTAAGTAATTATGTGATTGGAAGGCCAACGGGAATGGGAGAAGAAGACTCTAAGACCATTCCCGTCACAAAGCAATGAAGGAGAAACACACAATTCTTGCGGAAATTGACACTTGACTGACTCGCGACTGATAATGTCATGTCAGTGTGTTTGCCTTTTCACGTTGGCATCGGCCTGAGGCATGAGCCTAGCCTTGGCTTGTGCTCCACCCAATGTTAGACATGATGCCAGAAGAGAAAGGGAGTAAAGACAGGATGGACGGAAAAGAAATGCAGCCCGGGTGTCAGAAAGGTGAGCCCTCCTTGCCAAAGAAAAACTTACACAGCTGCAACATTCCTGCATCCAATAATATTGTTCCCACGGCATTGGCAATGTCCGCAAAAGGTCACATTCTGGTCAGGTTCCGGCTCAGCCAAAGCCATCTTGGCCATACAGATCAACATCTGCAGAACATATTGAAGAGGAAACAGAACAGGGTTGGAGATTCATATTTCCACTTCCAGTCGTCGTCGTCAAACTAGTCGTTGTTGTTTAAAATCTCTATTCTCAAAATACTTGGCGGCCATTTAAGAGATAATAGAAGGATATTTAAAGCGCTTGCCTTCCCCTCTTTGGTCTTTCCATAACCTTGAACCTTCCAAGTTGGAAGGCTGTCGGTTAGCGCTACGGAGATGTGTTGAAGTTAGGTGTCAGGACGTCGAATGTCTCAGTACTCTGTCAGTTTTGTGCCTAGTTATTGCACTTTCTGACTGTATATAGTATCATGTTACAGTGATGGAGAGTTACTCTTAACTCGTATCCATACGTCCTTTTCTCTTTTACATTGGCTGGCCCATACATTGATCGAACACCGATGTTCGATGGAGTAGGCATTTTGAAATTATCATAACTTGGTGAAATCTCAGTCTTTTGAAGAGATCGAAATATGTAGGTTAAAGAGAAAACTCTCAGCTGTCGCCTGGAACATTTTTCAAAGCGATACAAAGAGCGGTGCCTGAGTTATAGCACTCGTAATGTTGGTCCCGGGAAATTTGCGCTCAGAGCGCGATGCGTGGGTCAACGGCTGGGATTTTCCCTGCTTACGTCACCTGTTGACAAGGCTGCACCGATTCAACTTCAAAAGCAGGTTCCCGGCATCTCTACGAAAAAATTTGAGTTTGATACGAGCAACAGGAGTGAAATGGTGGGTAGAGATAGATATAGAGCGTGAGCCCAGCGCTGGTGGGCCTTCCCTGGCTTGCAGCGCTGGGCCAGTGCCTCCCGTGGAGTCGAGTGTACGCTCATTGCGCTCCTCTCGCCAAGGCCTTTCCAGGATGCCCAAGATTGTGGAATTTGTCCAATGCAAACTAAAGTTACGTCCGATTTAGGTACAGGTTTAGCGATTGCGTGGGCTTGTTTGTATTTTAATCGGCCAATAAAGGGTTAACAGAGGAGCTCCACGAAAAAATGAAAATTTGATAGCCTGTAGAGTTTCGGGCGCTGAGTCGAATGGTCTTGGTCCGAAGTCTCTACGAGAAACCGTTCTTGAGATATTTCAATTTTAGCCACGCCCCGTACCAATGTATGTGTGACATCATTGTGGCATGGTGCGAAAATACTTGGATTTTGAATCTCATTTTCTTCAGGACGAAAGTCACTACAGAAAGTAGTTTGCCAAGTCGCCTGAGCCGCTGCAATGCCAAATTGTTGTGTTGTTGGTTGTGCCAGTATCATATCATCCTCCTGGGGTTAGTTTTCTCAGATTCCCAAAGGATGGAGACCTGGCAAAGTGCCGAGATGTTGCAATGCGTCGTGAAAATTTCAAGCCTATTTTCGCAGCACGAGCTATGTTTACTCGCTGCATTTATGATCCATAGGGACTTGAGAGCTGAGTTTTGACGAGTACGCCGTCCAGGAAAGCCCTCATCAGTGTACCAGTGCCCGCCGAACAGTGAGCCTCCAGCAAAGCGAACTCAACAAGATGCAACTGAGAAAGCAGGGCGAGATACGTTCCATCAGGATCAGAAGAGTACATCACCCCATCAAGTCCGACTGCAGCTAGCTGATGAACGATATTACCCCAGTAACTTAGCGCATACCAGTACTCAAACTGTGCACATCTGTCATCAACTGGGACGCAAACAGACAAACCCCCAGCAAGTACGAAGGTTACAGAACTGTTTGCTTGCGATGTGCAGGCTGCATGCACGACGAACTGTCTCACCAAATCCTGCCAAACTGAACCAGTGTAAGTTGATTGCGTGGATATGTCTCTATTTATAACAGCTACCCTACTTCTAGGCATGGTTGCATGAATATCATATCACTCAGAGCAGTTGTTAGAAGTCTGGACAGCCTAGGAATAGTGCAAGTAAGGTGAAACAAAAAATTATTCCACTCCGAGTTCCACGCTTACGGGATCACCAGGCAAAAACATAATTTCGAACAAGGAATGGGTTCTGGTTGTTTATTATTATTATTAAAAGCATGTCCGCGTAGGTGGCGGGGGTGCCACTTTCGCTTATGCCATTCAGGATTGATGTCTGAAGAGTAATACGATACAATGAAATGACAGAAGTGACGTCAACAAAAGCCGTTAGCAACAACACAAATATGACTAATGGAAAACTTCATCCAAAGTATAAAATAAAATAGAATATGCATACAACATGTCTGGTCAGTCCTGTTAGGTGGGGCGGGCTCCACGCCATGCCTGTCGGTCCGCTGCCATTGTGCGGACTGCGTCAACATCTAGCGGCTGGTGGAGGGTAAGTCCATGCCATGATAACAGTTCTGTCTGCAAGACCGTTACCAAAGTCGTCCGAGGTCGACCCCTGAAGCGTTCAGTGCCCTCGTCGTTGGCCAGGCGAAGATACATATCCACTGCCAACTGTGGAGGAGCAGTTGGGGCCAAACGAAAGATATGGCCAGTGAGACTGTAGCGCTGCCTTGTGATCATCTCGCTGATGGGGACAGCTCCGCAGCGCTTATACAGAGTGTCATTGCTAATTCGTTTAGGGTACCGCATGTCGATGATGCTCCTTAGCTGGGTCCTGTGGAACGAATCCATTCGCGCGAGCTCCGACATCGGTAGGCCCCAAGTGCCGCAGTTGTAGGTAAGGACTGGGATGACGTAGGTGTTGTAAAGCCTCAGCCGAAGACCTTCACTGATCTGGCGCATCCGGGTCCAGATCTTGAGGAGTGAGTTGAAGGCGGCGGCGGCCAGTTGACGCCTCCGAGCAGCATCTTCGGAGTCACCCAGGAGGGAGCCTAGTATGCGGACAGTACGCCACGTTTCTTGGTTCCTATCGGGAAATCGGGCGACGGTGGTATGCTCTGTCTTGGAGGGATTAACGTTCAGGTTCCATCTCGCAAGAACTGCTGGAGCTTGTTGTTCAACTTCACTGAGAAACGTCTCATCCCGGCTCACAAAATCAACATCGTCCGCGTATGCGATATCCAGCGGCAGGTCATTGTCCACAGCAGGGCGAGATGGCAGCTCCTGTCGTAGGTCCCGGAGAGCAGCCTCCAGGTAAATGGTGAAAAGCACTGGAGAGAGACTGTCCCCTTGAGGGAATCCGATATTTGTCTTGAAGGAGCTTTTCGATGCACCTTTCACACGAGGTTCAAGCCAGGTTTCAGTCAACAGTATACGGATCATTCGGAGCTCACTTTCTTGGAGGAAGGATTCAAGGATCCTCATCAGGACATCGCGGCAGACAGTGTCGAATGCTTTACTCATGTCAATTCCCAATATGTGGATGGACGTATTGAATCGCTGCGTCATACTACATAGCCATCTATGGCACCACACCACATCACTTGTGCTGCGGCCACGACGAAAAGCACTTTGGGATGTAGCCAGGTACTGATCAACCGCTGGCTGTATCCTCTTCAGCACAATCAGGGACAGCGTCTTTCTCAACGCCGAGAGCAGTACGATAGGGCGCGTACTAGTAAGCGGCCCTAGTGGTTTACCGGGCTTCTGCAGCAGTATTAGGGTTCCTCTGCCAACTTCGAGTGGGTCATGTGTCTCAATAGCTCGGTTCAAGATGTCGGAAGTCATCTCAGCGACAATGGGAGGACTGTACTTGAGTAACTCTCCGGAGAGATGGTCAGGGCCTGCCGCTCTCCCGTTATTCAGGCTTTGGAAGGCCCTCCTAACTTCGGACGATGTGATTTGATTGGGGAGAGGGCTGGGATCACCTAGGAATTGTGGAATGTCAGGGAGGGATTTATCATGGAATTGGCTTTCATAATGCTTGATGATGAACGCCTGCTGGTCTGCAGGGTTGATAACGACCCGCTGCTTCTCATCATGAATAATAGGCTGGCTGTACGGTTTTCGCTTCAGTAGCTGGACAGCACGGAACATCTTTGCCCCACTATCATGCAGTCGCTCCAATTCCTCTGCTTGACGATCCAAGGCTCTCTTGGCACTGTCGGATGCGATATCACGAATTTCATGCATTGTGCGATTTCTTTGATTTTTTAGTGACTGTCTTTTCTGGTCATCCCTGCACTCTCCAATCGCCAGGCGAAGATCTTTCTCCTTGCGTGACAGCAACTCAATTTCAGGGGAGAAGTTATGGCGGTGATGTTGTCTCTGCTGAGTGCCGGCCGAATCCAGTGCTGATTTGCTGAGGACTTCAGATAAGGATTCCCAGACTGCTTGGGTGCTGTTGGCTTCTGATGACACGCTGCACTGGACCTGGGTCTCCACAGTTCTCTTGTAGGATTCCTGAATTGCGACATCTGAAGCAAGCTTTCCAGTGTCAGGGCGCATGTTTTGTTTGCAGTGGTCTTGCGTTGGTGCATACCCAGAACACCATAGAATCTCGACATGTCCAGTCTCGCCACAACTAGGCGATGGTCGGAGAATACATATGTTCCCGCATACGACCTTGCGTCTGTTAGAAGGGGACTCTGGTTCTGACGGCAGCAGATGTAATCTATCATATTGTAAACAGGAACACCGGAATTGTCACGGCAAGGGCCTTGCCACGTTGTTTTATGTCTAGCGCTGTGCTGAAATGCTGTGTTGCCAGCGAACAGGTTGTGAGCTTCAAGGAAACTAGCAAAAACTCCACCACTCAAGTTTCGTTGACCGCGGCCATGGCGTCCAAGAAAGGACTCGCCACTTTTGCGTATCCCTAGCTTCGAGTTGAAGTCACCAGCTAAGTTACGAACAATAATCCACTGGAAGCGTAGTCAGTCACGGCGTTCGCCAAACTGTCAAAGAACTCACTTTGTTCATCCGGGCTTGCCCGCAGCCGTTCTGTTGTTGGACCGTAGGCGTTGATGACCGTCAACGATGATTTTTTGCTATTGGGAAATTTGAATTGAATACCGGCCGCTCTGTCAGAAATACGCCAATACAGGCTCATACAGTCCTTGAGGGCACCTCCAACGGCAAAGCCCATACCGTAATGCCTGCACTCTGACGGCAGGCAGATGATTCTCG